GCTATGCAGTTCAGGCTGGCCTTGAGCTCACTTTGTAGCCCAGGCTGGTCTCAAACTCACAATGATCCTCCTGTCTCAGCCTCCCAAGTGCTGGGGGATTATAGGCATGCACCACCACACCTGGCTTTTTTTTTTTTTTTTTTTTTTTTGCTATTGAGTCTTAACAAAGGCAACATTTTACCACCTACAATTAGTTAATCCACAGGACTCTGAATATCAGTGTAAAGCAGCAAAGGTTGTGCCTTAACAGACCAGTTTCGAGAGTCACTAGGATACTTTGTTTCTTTGGCAGAGTGAAGTCCACATGAGCTTAGATTAAAAAACAAATTCAAAGAAGCAAGCAAGTCATTCATTGCCCAGAATTACTTTGAAAAAGGAACAAATGGCTTCAGGTCCAAAACACTTAGCCAAAACACTGAAACTTTATTTGGATCAGAATTACACTTGTCAAGGACCTGGGCAGTACCTGCCTCTTTGTAGCACCGATTCCTTCTCTCATCAGAGTAAATGCTCCAGCTGTCCCCACACTGGCTCTAGAGGTGTCCTAAGCATGGTCACATCAGCATCGATGTCCAGGCATATTCAGGGCTCAGATTTCTGGTTTAATAGCAGTTTTTCCACTACCCCCTGATACCCCACAAAAGTCTTGCAGCCAGCAGGTAATTCTCCCCTCCCTTCCCTACCCCAGCAAACCCTGGGACACTCCAGAGTGCCTTCTCACAGTTCCTCCTTCTCTACCCCCTTTTTCTGGAAGGCAGTTAGGATGTTTAAGCTCTTCTGGAGCTCTTCCTTCTTCCCATCGCTCATCTTATTCTTCTCAATCAGCTTGGTGATTCGAGACACCTCTGTTGCTGGGAAGTCCTCACCTTGATCTAAGACCTTCCCCATGATCTTCAGGTATTGTTCAGCCCACTTCTTTTCAGTCTCTTTCACACTTGAGAGGTTGTCCTGCCCCTGCTTCAAGAGCGCCCGGCGGGCCTCCACACTAGAGGCCCTGAGGAAGTCCCCCGCCAGGGCATCATAGGCAGGCAGGCAACCTGGCATACCCAGGTAGACCCCTTGCCCCTTCAGCCAGCGCTGGATGGCTCCAACCTTAACTGCCCCACTGTATGGGACTGGGTTCTCAAAGTCTCCGTCCCGGAAGAGGTAAAAGACTGGGTAGTTCTCTTTATCCAGCTTATATTTCTCACTCAGCTCCATGTTCAGTTTGTCACCATAATCTGTGAACAGAAACCAGAGATGAAGGGCACGACTATGACATGGGCAGGGTATTACTATGGGCTCTAACTGGGCAGAGGGGAAGAATTTTGGCTGTGTAATGGCTCAAAGTGAGGGCCTAGTTTTAATTCCCCCTGAATATTTTATGTCCACTACGTATGTGCTGGATGCAGTTTTAGGTACTAAGGACCCAGCTGTGAGTCAGACTAGCAAGTTCCCTGACCTAAGTTATTAAGTGTCACGATGAAAATAAAACAGGGTGATGGGAGTCCATTTTCGGCAGCCATGGACTTCTGTTGGGAGCTGGAGGAGGACCCGGATGTCATATGGCCAGCTTCATGCAGATAAGGGAACTGTCTCTCAGGGAGAGGACTAACCTTGGACTATTTAGGGATTACAAATTCCAATCTAACTGGAGCTTAGTAAAAAAGGGGAGCATGTGATCAGGTAATGAATATAGTCCCCACCCCACAAGGGCTGCTGGGAGGATGAGTGTACATGAGACCTTCAGAGGAGAGTTAGTTCCTGATAGTATTTGCTGTGTCCTTCCTAACTGGCTGCAGGAGTTCCAAGGGCTAGTACTATGACAACTGATTTCTTACCTCAGCAAGAAATGGCCCAGGCCAAATAGTACTGAGTAATAGTATCAGAAACCTAAGGTTCTAATCCTAGTTCTGCCATTTAATAGCTCACTCTGGGAATCAATTTTTTTTTTTTTTTTTTTTTTTTTCTTTTTGAGACAGGGTCTCCCTATGCAGGTCAGGCTGGCCTTGAGCTTACTTTGTAGCCCAGGCTGGTCTGGAATTTGCAATGATCCTCCTGCCTCAGCCTCCCAAGTGCTAGGATTAATTACAGGCGTGTGCCACCATGCCTGGCTCTGGGAATCAGTTTCTTGGTTGGAAAAAAAATTTTTTTTTTTGGTACCGGGAATCAAACTCAGGACCTTGTTTTCCAGGCAGGCTCTGTGCCGCTGAGCTATATTCCTGGCCCCTCGAAAAATGGGGGGAAGGGTACCATAGCATTTCCATCAGAGTTGTCACAAGGATGAAATACACATAGTAGCCTGGCATGCAATAAACATGTGATGTTAGCTATTTTTTTTTTTTTTTTTTTAAGGCAGGGTCTTGCTATGTAGTTCAGGCTGGCCTTGAACTCAAGGAGATCCTCCTGCCTCAGCCTCCCAAAGGCTGGGATTACAGGCATGTACCACCATGCCTTGCTACCATGCCTTGCTACATTATTATTCAAAAAACCCCAAACTAAGATGTAGTTGAGCCAGAATCGACCAAATGCCCCACAGAGGTATGCTAGCGATTTCCACTGGGACCAGATGAATAAATTCCCAGCTTACAAAGGAATGAAGCATCATGGCTGAGAAGATGCTGGCTCTGGCAAGTGCTTGCTACCCCTATGGTACACACTTAGGAGTGGAGTTTGTATCATCTTCCATCACCCCTCCCATACTGGGGATTGGACACAGGGCCTTTGCACTGAACTACAACCCCAGCTATTTTTTATTTTGTGACAATGTCTTGCAGAGATGGCCTTGAGTTTGCAAACTCTTGCCTCAGCCTCCCAAAGTGCTGGGATTACAGGAATTTGCCACCATGCTCAGGGTGGAGTTCTAGATGAGCCCCTCCATACTCTATGGTTCACGAAGTCACTCAAGTTCCTTGAGCCTCAGTTTTTTTAAGTCCATACCTGAAATCCCCACCTCTGCCACCAAGAGATCATCACTGGAGGCCGAGTTTTCAGCCAGTCGCTTGAACTCGTCCTGCTTCTCACCGTAGGGGTATTGGGTGTCGAACTTCACCAAGACGAACTTGCTTTTGGGAATGACCTGAGGGTGCATAGAGCTGAGCAAGTGGGGTGTTCCAGGGGCTTTGGGGTTAATTCCCCTTCCCAGGGGGCCCCTGTTTAAGAAACAGTGGAAACAAGCCCACAAAGGAGACAAACTCTCACAACCTAATATTCATTCACTCACCCACTATTCACTTACTGGGTACCCCACTAGGTACCTGTTCACGCTAAGGAAAGGTACGGTACACAGTATACAGCCCAGTCTAAAATATACAAACTTGTAGATAAAACCAAGGCCTTTCCCCCTGTAGTGTTCCTTTCAGTAAGACCAAGGAGGCCTTCAGCATGCACGCCATCACCCCAGGATGCCTTTCTCAATGAACGCGGAACCAGAAATCTGAAAATACAAACAAAGCCATCTAGGCCAGGGATATAGCGCAGCAGCGCCAGCGCCCGCCTGGCAAGTGCAAGGTCCTGAGTTAGATCCCTGATACCAAAAAAAAAAAAAAAAGCACCCCCTAAAAAGGAGTTGGCTAGAGGTCAGTTCACACCCAGCAATTTCAGGGCAGACAGAAAGTTGGTGAAGGTAAGCCTTGGGTAAATGTCAGTTCCCTTTCACTAGATCTTTAGGTTTTAAACTGCCAAGATGTTTAACTGTAGTAACATAAAATTTGCCATTTGAAAGTAGAATGTAGTGCATTAGCAGTGTTATGTAACCATCACTACTACCTAGTTCCAGAACATTTTCATCACCCCCAAAAGGGAACCTTGTACTTACTAAAGATTTTCTCCTCCGTCTTCCTCTTCCTTGTCTCCACTGTCTGGATTTACTTATTTATTTATTTTTAGCAGTCTATTCTTTTCGTTTGTTTTTTGAGACAGGGTCTCACTATATAGTTAAGGCTGGCCTTAAACACATTAGCCTAGGATGGCCTTGAACACACAACAATCCTCCTGCCTCAGCCTCCCACATGCTGGGATTACAGGCGTGTGCCACCATGCCTGGCTGGATTTGTCTATTCTCATGGAATCATACAATATGTATCTTTGGGTCTGGTTTCTTTGCCTTAGCATAATGTTTTTAAGGTCTGTCCTTGTAGTACTTAGTAATTCATTCCTTTTTACAGCAATAAACCATTTATCCGTATGATGGGTATCTGAGTTGTTTCTACCTTTTGGCGGTCGTGCATAGTACTGCCCTGAACATTCACATTTTTTTTCATTCATATTTTTGTCTGAACACTGTAGTCAATTCTTTTGGGTATACCTAGGAGTGGAACTGAGGGAGTTACACGGTAAGTCTTTATTTAATTTGCTGAGGAACCAAAGTTCTTTTGATGAACAGATTTTATTTAACAAGCTGTCTCTGGTCAGTAATACTGCCTTCCCTTCCTCCCAGAACTTTTTGCTTTTCTACTCTAGGGATCACTATGGTCAGGTTTTCATCACAGGCAATCACTGCCTATAATTATGTCAGCCTGAGATGGTTCCAGCTGCAGGCAAAGAACTAAGTACTTTTGTTAATCTGTGTCCTTTACAGTGCAGTGATGTCCATCAGGGTTTGGCTTTTTTTTTTTCCGGTACTGGGAATCAAACTCACGGGCTTGTGCTTGCCAGGGAGGTGCTGTGCCCTTGAGCTAAATCCCCAGCCCCAGGGTTTAGCATTTTAAGAATATTTAACAATGCCTAGGGATGCAAAGGCAGGAGAAGCCAGAACAGGTCATCTTTAATGGTTAGTAACACCAAAAGTCTGAGCTCTGGGGGCCTAAAACAGGGAAGGCTTAAAATATAAATCAGATCACATCCCTCTGGCCAAACTGGCCTTGTTTCAGTTCAACACATTACACTCGTTCCACTCAGGGCCCTTCCATTTGTTCTCTGCTGACAGTGACGGCCTTCCCCAGTTCCCTGCATGGCCGACTCTATCATGCAAGCCTCGGTTGAAATGTCCACTTCCCATGCACAGGACTCCGCTATCCAATACTACTTCATTTCCATCATACACCTCCTTCTGATGTGTTTTCTTTATTGTATTAGTCACTCTCTGAAACCCTTATTTGCTCGTTTTCTGTTCTCTCTGCAACAATATACTTTTATGAAAGTAGGGATGTTGTCTGACCTGTTTTCTGCTGCATCCCTAGGGTCCCAGTGTCTGGAGTGGAACAGATGCTCTGAAAATACATGATGAATGAACAGAACTCTGGCAGTGTTTGGTAGCAGATGCCACATGCCCAGAAGGAAACGTGTATAAAAAGCACAACATCCCAGCACTGTGGGATGCTGAGGCAGGAGGATCACAAGTTGGAGCCCAGTCTAAGCAACTTTGTGAGTTCCTGTCTCAAAATAAAAAATAATTAAAAAACAATAACACACCACAGGAGTCTCATCTTCCAGGAACTGTATCTGTGCTATGGAATACTACTACAATCAGACAGTAGCCTGACACTGAAATAGAACTGAGAGACCTCCATGTGTTAACTGTACCATTCTTAGCTACTCGGGTAAGGCAAAGTAATTTTGAATGGCAAATAGTTACAGAAAGGATTTTTTTTTCTTGTCTCCATCCCCCCTAATTGTTTTGCGGTACTACCAATGAGCCCAGGCCTTCACACTGATCTAAATCCCCAGCTCTTTATTTTTTATTTTGTGACAGTGTCTTGCTAAATCACCTATGCTGGGCTCCCTGAACTTGTGATCTTCCTACCTTAGTCTCCTAGCTTGCAGTCTTTTGTTTGTTTTTCTTAAAAAAAAAAAA